TATATATATATATATATATATATATGTTTTCACAAAAATTTCTTCTTTTTCATTATAATCTCTGAACCCTAACAGCAGCCACCTTCCCTCTCAAAACCCTAACCCTAATTTATAAGTTTGGAAAAGCTTCGTGAAGCGAACACCGAGAGGAGGGCGAGATCTACAACGTTTGGTGACGAATGGTCGAGTCTTGCTTGCGTGTAAGAGATCAGCACGTTTGAAAAGGCAAGATCATCTTACTCCAAACCTTTCCTTAGCTAAAGATCATGTCATTATGTGTTAAATGGATAATCTAATGATTAGGGCTTAATCTGATGTGTTAACACATTGTTCATAATGATAAATCTTAAACCAATGATGAACAGTAGGTTTTATCTTAAATTGACAAGTATAGATGATCATGATCATTAGAGTTGATTTCTAAATTGTTAATTATGTTTTAATTTAGTTTAAAACCCTAGTTAATCAAATTAATTAAGCGTTTTGTTAATTAGGATGTTTAAACCCTAGAATTATTAATTTAAGTGATGTGATCCTGTTTAAGTTAATCTTATGTTAAGTAATTACGAGAATTTAATCAAGTATTACTAATCATGTTATTAAAAGTACAAGTTATTAAAAGTACAAGTTTTGAGATAAACTGACAAAAACAACAAAACCTGGAATCTTCCTCTTGTCGGTCGACCGACAGAAGTCATCGATCGACCGATCAAGGCTGTCTTATGTGCCCGTTTGTGCATGATGTCGTCGGTCGACCGATGGTGTGTTTCGGTCGACCGATATTAGCTATTTTGCATATTTTGTGTTCAACGTACGTATGATCGCAACCACGAAGTACGAGATGTACATTGACACATGTGTGTGACTATGAGAGTGTGTATGCATTGGTTTTGAGTACGTACGAGCCTCTTTATGAGCATAGTATAATAGTTTGTGTCGTCATAAGTAACGATTGTTTTAGTAACGATTGTTTTAGTTACGGTAACGGTGGATGCCTGAGTGGGGTTAATTGGTAATTTGGTATATTATAATGAGACCGCGGTAGACTACACTCAGAGTATATATTATTGTTTCCGCATGATTATGCGTAGAGGTCAATGTAGCTATGTTATTTTGTCCGCATGTATATGCGCAGAGGTCGATGTACCAATATTATTGTATCCGCATGTATATCCACAGAAGTCGATGTACCTATATTATTGTATTCATATGTATATGCACAAAGGTCGATGCGCACCTATATGTCGATCCACACGATGATGCGATGGGTTGTGAAATTTTGTGAATAATAATTTTATGAATTAGTTGATGGCCTGTGTCGTAAGCGGTTACTGAGTTTTTGATGTAGTTCATTGTTGAGATACTTCACATGGTGGATTACACAGGATTGTGTACTAGTATCTATTTTATCTACCAAGGGTAATACGAGATATTTGGTCGACATTTATGACATTGTTTGTAATGGTATTTGCCTGTATTGCTTTCCTTCTTTATTTATTCTTAGTTTGGAATTGATATTTAGCGATTTACAATTTGAGACATATGATATATATGAGGTTTTTCTTGTTTGGATTATTTCACTCGACGTAGATTTCTAAATATTAATCCCAATTAGTACAAGGTAAATGATTTAAGTAAACTATGCATTTTTAGGTAGAACATCTATTATACTTAGTAGCCCTTCCCTAGGGGCGGATAGAGATGATCTTGCTAACGCTCCGACGTTGTTGATTTCCCTTCTTTTCAGACAGCAAATCAAAGTTTCGGAGAGCCGCAGGTTGACGGACTTTCAGCATAGCTACCGTTATTTATTCGTAGTAGTTTATGCTCCATAGTTATTTTGTTATGATTTTAATCGATCTCTTGTGCTTGAGATTATTTACTTCTTATTTCAGACTATTGGATGCATGTTCTTTACTTCAGTTGAGACTTGTTTACTAATATTGTTGGTCATCTATTTCATATGTTCCATTTCCTGTTTTCATCTCTTTTATATCTGCTAGTACCTGCACTATTCTTATTTGATTCCACTAGAAAGATTGCTGTGATGGTGAAACATATTGTTGCACAGTGTGGATGCATGACAGGTTTGACATCTCTAGGTTCACCTTGGACTGCAACCATGTGTGAAAACGGGGGTGTCACACCGTATAAGCCTACCTCCCTACCCGACCCGTGAACCGGAACGAACCGGGTTCCACGCAACTATGGGACATATTGATACAGGTTGATATTGGTTAATAACGCCTGAGTCTGATGTATGAGAGTTTATACTGTTCTATTAAAAAAACAAAAAGTAATCAAAGTCCGTATTATACTGGTAAGTTAAAAAATAAAAAAGAATTAAGCAGAAAACTTGTGATTAAACCTTCACTTAATCCAAGTAGCGGCGATAGGCCCAACCAGAAACTAGTACTGAGTCATCAAACTCCCAATATCTTTAACAATAAAAATGTATAGGAACCACGTCAAATATTAAGATTTCAAACCATAGTTCAAAGGAGCTTCTATTCATATACATGTCTTTTAAATTTGAAGGGGAATAAAGAGGCAGGTCCAAAAAATGAAGAAACAAAAGTATGGAAAAGGAAACCCTTACTGTTCTTAAAAAAAAAACAGAATTAGTTAGTTTCTTATAAATAAATAAATAAAACCTCAATTGTCCTATCAATCTCCATTGTAGTGAGAAAAGAATTCCTGAATACCTAGGAAAAACAACACTTGGAGACTTCCTGAGTAGCTTGCAAATAACTCAGCAAAGAGGAGATTTATATCTTTAGCTTTAACAACATTTATGAATGAATAAATGCAGCAAACCAATTTGATTATCCTGTAAGAACCTTAAATCACTAAATATACACAATCCCCAAAAAAGGCATGCCAATCGCGATATACAGGTTTTTCGCCTCCAAAAATCAAGTGACAGGAGAGACTCTGCTTAGCTGGCTCATATAGCTTGCAGAGAAAACAAGGGACCCATACCATAAGTTCACATTAACATCATTTATATATATACACAAATGCAGCAGACCAATTTGATCCTCCCGTAAAAGTCTTAAAATCACAAAATTGACAACCAGAAAATAACAAACCAATCATAATATGGATACTATATTTTTTCAAAAAAAAAAAAACAAAACAAAAAAACAAATGATAGAATTTTAACTGAGACTTACTCAGCATCTTCATAATCAAACGATGCATATCCTGACGTTATGCTTTTCAGTTCGTTGTAGAAATCCACAACAATTTCCCTTAATGGCAGCCGATACTTCATAAGTACTCGCTGACTGCAAAATGAAATAAACACCCATGTCACAAATATCACCTATTACCAAATAACACATGCACTTTAACTTGCCTATCAATAAATGAGTACTCAAGCTGCTCGCCCCTCCTCTCTGAGCAAAGTGTAATAACAGGTCCAACATACCTGAAAATAGATTTTTTTTAAAAGGTGTTTAAGGTGAATGGCATGAATCAGATAATATATGTATGAATATAAGTAAAAGAGTAAGGAAACAGAGCTTACTCACTAGGAATGATAATTGTTGCAGTAACAGTTGGCTCCCAAGATGCCGTGACACGTAGTTTAGGATTTGAAGCCAACATAGCAGGATTCTGAACCTGCGACTTACTAGAACAAAGGAAAAAAAGGATCAGATACAAAGATGAACATTTATAAGGCATTTAAATGGGAAAACACCATCAAACAGTAATTCTGATACCTCCCATCTGAATACTCAAAAATATACGGTACAGTAGGGATAGTAGATATAATCTGCGCTCCATACTCCTACACAGTACCCAAAACACCAAGATAATTAATATTTTACGCACAAGATGGACATATGAGACAGGACAAAAAAGAGAAATCAATGAAATTTGAATTTTTATAGTTGAAAATGACATTAGCCTAGAAAATTAAGATTTTCTTCAATGTTCTCCAAAGCGATGAATGCTTCTGGGCGCCGGAGCTAGCCCTCAGCTGCCCAGGCGAGCACTTACGCGGCATGTACGCAGGTTTTCATTTTTGCACTTTATTTTTGTAAGGTAATTGCTGCAGTTTGCTTGAAGCAAAGAGAATGGTTGTGGGGAGACATCGTGAGAGGAATTGTCTTTTTCAAAGATTCAAAGTCATAGCCTTCGTTCTATCTAAGTTTGATTTGCATATCGAGTTTTGATCTGATCCATTTTCACCTGGCATGCTCTCTTTTGCTACACTTCACCAGCAACACAAATGTTTTTGATGCGGTGCAGCCCGATTCATGCAGCCCAAACTCACTTAGGTGCCTCTAACATTTGGTGGGCGGCCTGCGCACCACTTAAGCCTAGCCAGTTGCTCAGCTTGCTTTTTAAAACAATTATTTTCTTCAAGTTTATTAGAAATAAAACCAGATTAAATCAATTTATATCATTAGGATTTGGTTTGTTTTGATATAAAATTTGTCTTTTATATGGTACAAGTTTACCAGGCATATATTATGTAAATTTGACAAAAAAAGACCTTTTAAGAAAATACTACCGAAAGAATATATTTTATAATTCTCAAATATCATAACTATTTTTTTTCACAAACATCTTCCAAAAAATGATTTTATTTGTCTAAAAAAGTGAGATTTGAAAGTCTAAAGTAAAGTAATGTTTAATTAATTTAAATAACGATTAATTATCCAAAAGAGAAGAAGAAAATCAAGATGCTATGGCGGAGAAAATCAAGATGCTATGGCAAACTCAAACCTACCAAGAGGTTTACCATGTAAGTTGAGATTTAATTTTTTTTAAAAACATATTAACTAGTATTCTGGCGCACGCAATGCGTGCATGATAAGATATCATTAACACCCTTAGTAATCAACATGAATACATATATAAACATAAACAATAGTTAAAAGGGAGAGTTCAAGAGCAAGAGAGAGGAGAAATTAGGCAAGGGTCTGTGATCTTGAAAATTTGAGGGTAGTTGTGAAATAGTAGATAGTTTCTTCGTTATAAAATAGTGGGGTAGTTATGAATTAGACTGTTGCTTTTTTTTCCTCCCAAACTTGTCCCTCCACTAAGTTTTACATTATTGGAAGTTGTGTGTATGATTTTTTGGAATATGACTGGAATTTTTTTAAAGGGTGACTAAAATAAGGGTAGAACACCAAAAAATAGCTTTTTTAACTAATAGTAATATTGCTAATCTAAGTTTAAGCATGACAAATATCTATAAAATAAAGGAGGTTATATAACTTGATACAAATATAAATGCTCACCCAAAAAGAAGAACCTACTGGAAAGAAACAATATACTATTACAAAAGTAACCTTGCATGGACCTCTTTACAAAAGTTTCCAGTAGTAACTAATCAAATTCCATTTTGGAAAAATTTGACAAACAAAACCTTTTTAGTTTTCAGCATATTCCAATTTCCAACTAGTAGTTTTATATAATGTATAGATTCAATTGAGTTGGGAGTTAGGACGATAATACTAGACAAGTATAGCTGTTTAAGTTCCAATTTATCTCTTTCGATTTGTTTATCCATAATTGCTTGTTACAAATGTCCTATAAATAAAGGTTGCTTAGGTTGTAACCAGAGCTATCGACTTCGTTGACAAGGTTGCTTATAATCAGAATCAGTTGATATATTGATGAATTAAATTTGAGATTGTTTGACTCGAGTAAGAAGTATATCATTCTCTGACTCTACTTCCTATTTGATGTAACATTCTTTCTATTCTACTATTCTTAATCTTAGTCTCTATTCACTTCTCTTTTAATAATCGTTTCTTCAAGAACTCTTGTAAGCAAATAATATTAAGGTCTAGTAAGAGGACAGTAATCGGTGCAATGATCTAATGAAAGAAAAATCTAAACTGATTTCAGTACTTGAGTAAGCCAAATGTTCGACTTAACTGACTAGTGTAATTAAAGGACAGCTTAACATCCATAGCAAACTGTTAAGAGTACTTGGATATAACTTGAGTATTGCTTATTTCTCACTAGATAAACAGAATGAAGATGGTTTTTATCAATTTATATTGGTTTTAACACTATTAGTTGTTCTATGAACTCAACTTCACAGTTCATATCTCAGCTAAACAGAAATATAGTGGGTTGAATTGATATAACGGTTACTCGACCCATGAAATTAAGAATCAATAATAAGAACAGAACGTACTTGTTCTAATCGCTGGTGAAAGACATCCATGTGAAGTAAACCCAGAAAGCCGCACCTATTTATAGTACCCATATCATTGTGCGAACCATGTTAAGTGAAAATTAATAAGACAAATGAATTCTGCAATTTGTGACACTCAGGACTAAATTATGTCAATGTTATGTTTAAAATTTTACGAAAAAGATGTACGCTCAATTAAGTTTATACACCTGAATCCCATGCCAAGGGCAGTGCTAGTCTCTTTGGTAACAGACACACTAGCATCATTGCAAGTCAATTTCTCAATTGCATGGTTAAGAGCATCAAAATCTGATCCATCAGCAGGATAAAGACCAGAGAAGACCATGTGCCTCACAGGCTTGAAACCTGAAAGAAAAAATGGTGTTTAAAGTGCAGGTTATATACATAGGAAACAGAGAGAGGTATATCTATCAATCGCTACATCAAGGTGTTACCATAGCAAAGAGCCATGTACTATCTAGAAATACATTGCTCAAGGAGGCAACTAGAAGGTATGACATGAGGTGTTGAATACCTGGAAGAGGCACTATAATGCTTTTGGCATGATGAAGCGTATCACCAACCCGTGCTTCTTTTGTTGAACGCATGCCACTGACAACATAACCAACTTGTCCTGTAAACAGCACTCCAGTTGGGGTAAGTTCAGGATGCATGATTCCAACATCTTTAACTTCATACACCTGGGAAGTGGCCGCGGAGGTTATCTTATCACCCTTGCGGAGAGCACCATCAACAACAGCAACATGGCAGATTACACCTTTATACTCGTCATAGTAAGAATCCAAAAGAAGCATCCTCAGTGGTGAATCACAATCTCCTGGAGGAGGAGGAATACGTTCTATGACTGCAGGAAGGACATGCTCCAGGCCTTGACCAGTTTTAGCAGAAGTAAGAAGAGCATCTTCTGGATCAAGATCAAATATCGACTTCAACTGAGCTTTGACACGATCAGGATCAGCAGTGGGCTGATCAATTTTGTTGATAACCGGAATTATGCTCAGATTAGATTCAAATGCAAGATAAAAGTTGGCAACTGTTTGTGCCTGAACACCTTGTGCAGCATCAACAACCAAAAGAGCACCCTGGCAGGCAGCAAGAGACCTTGATACTTCATAACTGAAATCCACATGACCAGGAGTATCAACAAGATTCAATAAAAAGCTTGGTGGATTCTGTTCATGAGCAATATCATTTACACCACAACGGGGGCTATGCATGTGGAACATAGTTGCTGTTTGAGCTTTGACAGTGATACCTCTCTCCCTTTCCACCTGTAAACATGAGATGTTTGCTTACAAAAATGCACTCATAAAGGAAGCTCTGAGAGAACTAGAGTTAGAAGGTGGTAAGATAATGCACATGGAAGACAATGGAAAGGTCACGTTCGGCTTTTCACTTTCAGCAGGCATTCTACTTTCTACACTGCAGTTCCATGCAGTATCAAGTTTTCTAATTGCGTTTTCATGCAGTGGTCTTCTAAAACGGCCAATCCCAAAAGTTAGGGATAATTTTTCTTTTATTTCTTAAATTTTTTGCCTTCTAAACTGCATTTTCATGCACTCAAGTCAAATAAACTCAAACTAATAAACTGTATCAGTTAGGCTGTTGTTCATGAGTTTATAAACTATAGTCAATCATATTTACTTATGCTATTCTGTGGTTTACAAATATTAAATGAGCTAGATTTTTCTCAAATTCAAACAGTACAATGAAAAAAACTAGCACTTGCCCTTTCTTCTTTCTCATAGATCATACCTTAACCTTCCCTTATCATTAGACCCTTAGCGATTTACCTATTTCTCGTCCACTTCCAGCTTGGAGTAGCTTCATGTTGCATCCAAACATGTAATGAAATTTGTGAAATGCATGCCAAAGAACTGTACTCACAGGATTACAATCTATAATTTGCAAACCTCTAATTATAACAAAATAACCAGAGTTAAAAAAAAAGTTATAGACTTCGAAGCCAAACAGACTAGGGTAAATGTCTTGTTTCAGTAGTCATGAAATGAAGACATGAGCAACATAAGAGGAAGCAAACAAACTATACTCTACAAAATTCAGATGTCAGATTATGTAACCAAACTAGTTTGTTACCTATGCAATGCACGGAAATCCAAGAGAGTTGACCGGGCGTTTGCGTATTCGGGGATGTTTGGTTGTATGTTTTTACCATGTAAAAGGATGTAAAGTGTAAAAAAGTGGGTCCCAATGTCAGCTTTCATTACTTTCAATTGTTTGTTTGTAGTTGTGAAAATAGTGTAAAGTGATTTCATATGCTGATGTGGCTTGTAAAGTGATTTCATGAAAAAAAGACATGATTTTAGGAAAAAGCTAACATTGAAGTTAGGAAAAAATAATAAAAAATAATTCCAACCAATATGATCATTTGAGTAGGGACCACTTTTTACACTTTCCAAACAAACAATTAAAGTTTCATTTTGCAAACCAAACAAGTGTTTTATGATTCCAATAGAATCAAAAACAAACAATGAAAAGTATAAAAGTGAAATTGATGAGGTGGACAACAACTTTCCAAGTTGTGTCATAAATACACAACTTTACCAACAACAACCAAACAGCCCCTTCGGGAAAGAGAGAAGAGGAGAGAAAATGTAAAGTTTGCATATCAATGGGAGAATCGATGAATCTTGATAGGATTGATGTGGAGAACCTAGAGATGAAGATGCATGACATAGGAAAGCTAAAAGGAATTTTTTTTTATTTTACAATATATAGCATAAACAACTTTTCAATTAGAAATAATAACAATAGAATAAAGACTAAACCAGAAAAAACAGAGCAAGCTCACAAAGTTTGCCAATGGGTCCGATACTTTGAGCATTCACAATATACTCACTAAATGAAAACAACCCACTAACATACATAAGTTCAAATATCTCAATTCAGCTTCTAACAAACTTCATACAGTAACAAAACCTTCACCAAAATTTTGAATGTTCTCTATATCACTATCAAACACAATGCCATTTGCCTAAAATTTCATCGAAGAACAACTCGAAGCTTAACTAAAAAAAAGAAGAAAAACCCCAAAAATTTCCAAACCTGCAATTTGTCAAGATACTGCGGCTGTCCAAGCCCTTTCTTGATCGTCCCCGTGAGCTCCAGCAGACGATCAGCGAGCGTCGACTTCCCATGATCAACGTGAGCGATGATCGAGAAGTTTCGAATCCTTTCAATGGGGTACTGGCTCAAATCGACTCCAAACTCCTTGTTGCTAGACCTAGAATGAGAGCAAAACCCTCGGTCTCCATTCAAGAACAGTCGAATTCTGTGGAGATTCCATCTCGTTGACTTCGATGCTCGATTTAGATAGCTCATTGATGACGTTTGATGGAGAACGGGGCGGTTAGGGTTTTAGCTAGGGTTTCACATTGGAGAAGAGAAGCTGAGATGGAGGGCTTTTTGTTCTGATGAATGATGATGTCCCGGGGGAGTTCCGTTTTAGGGTAATTTTCACAAAGGTGCTAAAAACTTTGGAGTGAGTTGCAATAAACACCCATAAAGTTTGAAAATTAAATAACAAATGAAGCCTCCTGGAACTTTAAAACGATTTCACTGGGATTGGCTAAATACCCATATTGGTATTATAATTCAACCCCATTTGCCAAGAAGGTATTTTAAATAAAAAAATCGGCGTTAAGGCATTTTAATTAATTAAAATTACCAATTAGGTCCTTTTTTCTCGTCGGCGATCACTTTTCCGGCGAGAACTCATCACGTGCGTGGCACGTGATGACTTAATCTGTATAAATACCCATATTGGTATTTTAATTTAACCCCATTTGTCAAGAAGGTATTTTAAATAAAAAATCGGCATTAAAGCATTTTAATTGATTAAAATTACCAATTAGGTCTTTTTTCTCGTCGGCGACCACTTTTCCGGTGAGAACTCGTCACGTGTGTGGCATGTGATGACTTAATCTGTGTTTTAGCTGATGATGTGGCTCGGTTTGCTGATGTGGCTCGGTTTTAGCTGCTGATGTGGCTTAATCACAATTTAAGTCCAAAACGAACCAACCTGAACCCTAAAAATTTCAAAACAAAGATCAAACTTCCACGCATTCACTCCAGATCTCAGATCCAACTCAATTATCTTATCTTTACTGCTAACAGAAGCAGCCAAAACCCCCGATTTCAGGAACTTCTAGAAGAAAACGTCATGGGAATTCGGAGAGAAGAGAGTGAGAAGACGAAGATCACTGCAAACTAGATTGCCGCCGGCGCGGCCATGGATCGATGCAAGAGAAAGAGGTTCTATTTATACGGTAATTTCTCCACGAAATTTTCGCTAATTTTTTTTACCAATTTTAGAAATGGGGAATTTTAAAATGCATCGACTCTTATTCTTCCTGCCACTACCACGTCAGAAAACCGGTTGAATTAAAATGCACGTGACCAGTTCTTGCCGGAAAAGTGGTCGCCGACAAGCAAAAAGACCTAATTGGTAATTTTAATCAATTAAAATGTCTTAACGCTGATTTTTTATTTAAAATACCTTCTTGGTAAATTGAGTTGAATTAAAATACCAATATGGGTATTTATACAGATTAAGTCATCACGTGTCACGCACGTGACGAGTTCTCGCCGGAAAAGTGGTCGCCGACGAGAAAAAGGACCTAATTGGTAATTTTAATCAATTAAAATGCCTTAACGCCGATTTTTTTATTTAAAATACCTTCTTGGCAAATGAGGTTGAACTAAAATACCAATATGGGTATTTAGCCCACTGGGATTTGTATGGATTATCTTTTTTTAAAAGTATATATCAGGCTGATTTAGCTTAAATACTTTGTAGTTTCTTCTACTTTGCACTTTTATACCCTCATATGTTTTTGCTAGCACTTTTACATTCTAAGGTTTTTAAGCTTTGTGTGTTAATATCTTTTATTATACAAATGTGAAAGAAAATTTCCCTTTGAAGTTTCTCATGTGACACTCACGAAGCGAATTTTAGAATTTTATAGGCCTAAATATTTGTTAAATTTAATATTTAAGCATATCCTAATTATATTTTAAACCTACCTTAATTAAATTTTTAAATTGAATTAAGGTGAATTTAACAATGAATTCAACAAATATTAAAGGGCTAAAAGTTCTAAAACTAGAATGTGAATGCCACAAGGGGCAAAATCTGAATATTTTTATTACATTTGCATAATAGAAGATTTTAAAGTGTAATTTTTAGAATTTTTAGAGTGTACAAGTGCTAAAAAAACAACTGAAGGTATTTCAGTTGCAAAACTGGGAGAGCTGTAAGGGCATCTCAAACAGCTTCTCTAAAAATTTCTCCAAAATGGGGAAGCAAAAGTCATATTCTCCAAATTATTTTTACACCAACTCCAACAGCTTCCCCATTTTGAAGAATCCCTTTTTTCCTCCAAAAATTTGGAGAATGCTGCAGATTTGGGGAAGCTTCCCCATTTTTTCTCTTCCATCCCTATTTTGGGGAATGAGATGGAGAATCTGTTAGATCAAAAACCTAACTAAATTCTCCAAAAGTGGAAAATGGAGAAGCTGTTGGAGATGCTCTAAGGTATTTAAGTAATAGCTAGCCAGGAACATTTTGAACGCCCTCAAATTTTTTTCATGAAAGTACTCAAAGTTTATGGGAAGTTTTTCTAAATTTCAAAATCAAGATGATTTTATACAAATCACCCCAAATTCAGAGAAGGTTTGTTAATTTACCCTTGCTTTATTGCGATGCGACTGCTTCGACGGGAGAATTTGATTGGTTTGTCGTGACAATTTCTATCGGATGGCGGGTTTTTATGCTTGACAGGGTCTTACATAGTTGAAATGGCTATTAGCACCCCAAACTTCTCTTATGCCAATTTACGTTTGAGGCAGAATCCATTTTTAAAATGACGCAGAGTTTATATTTTTTTTGTTTTTTTAAATGTTTATGAAGCGTGAATGCAATTTTATTTTTATATCTAAAACTAATAGAGTAGAAAAGCAAAGTGTTCAGAAGTTTTAATTATTATAAATAAATTTGACAAACTTTGATGCATTTAAATTTTCATGATAATTTGTGATTTTTTTTTCTATCAGGGTGACATAATGATGAGGATGAGTTTTTGCGGGGGAAAGATCTGAATCACCTTTATACAAAATAAAAGAAATAGTATGGTCTGTGTTTAAATCATGTCATAATATTCCCTAATACTTTAATGCAAACTTATAAATTTTTAAAGAGATTTTAATATTGAGGGTTTTGAATAATAAACTTAACAGAAAAGCTAATATGAACACACTAATTAAGGTAATCTGGGCGACGAATATCAAAGTGTGAAGATTTGAGGGACAAATGTCAAATATCAAATACATGCGATGTAAGGGACTAATATCTAAAAAAATCTCATAATTTTAGGACAAATTTTCAAAACCAACCTATTTGGACATTTTATTGCAAAAAAAGACCCGTTTCACATTTATTTAGAGAAACCGACCTGGTTTCAGCACTGTCGCTGAAACCAGGTCGGTTTTTCTAAAAAACTTTACGAAACTTCACGGGAGTTCAACTCCCGTGAAGTTTAGTACGTTTTTAAACTTCACGGGAGTTGAACTCCCGTGAAATTTACTTCCCCCAATAAACTCCACGGGAGTTCAACTCCCGTGGAGTTGCAGGGTAAAATCGCCAGCGAGCAGCTCGCTGGAAAATCTGGCCTGCAGCTTCACGGGAGTTGTTTCCTTTGGCGTTTGCAGTGGTTGATATTGAAAACACAGAGAATTGGGCGTGGTTTTTTGCATGCATTAGATATCATATCCCTAGTGTGGGTGCGCGGCCGATTACATTCATATCTGATAGGATGAAAGGAACTCCAAGAGCACTCCAACGTCATTTCCCAGAGCCACATGTACATCGTTATTGCTTGCGACATATTAGGGACAACTTCAAGAAGAAATTTGGAAACGGTCAGGTTCAAGATCTTCTTTGGCAAGCCGGCTGTGCAACAGAAAAATTAGTTTATGACCAAATACGAGAGAGGATTAAGTTTATCTCCCGAGCTGCACATGATTGGATCGAAACTAGTTTGGGACCACACAATGTTGATAAGTGGGCTTTATGTGAAGATGGCGGGAGACGGTTCTGTATGATGACTACGAACGCTTCAGAGAGTTTCAATGGCGTGCTCAGGGGAGCACGCGGTATGCCAATACAATCACTAGTTGCTAAAACATTCTACAGACTTAATAACTTCTTTCTACGACGTCGCGAACTTGGTGAAAATATCCGCTCGGAGCTCACACCGAAAAATGATGAAATGTTAGCGGCTCGGATTGTACAAGCTCGATCCTTTCATGTCGTAAGATACAGTTTTAATGAATGGGAAGTCATTGAGGGAATATCACATAGAGAAAATCGCTCTTATAAAGTTAACATGTTAGTGGATCACTCGTGTACGTGCACTTGCAACGTACCGCAATTACAATGGATTCCTTGTTCACATGTTGTCGCGGCTTGTTCTGATCTACAAGGTGGTGCGAGGATTTCACACTATGAGTTCGTCGAGGCTTGGTATTCTACTTACAACTATCGACAAACATACAAAGAGTGTTTTCGTCCACCATATGATAGTCGATATTGGACACAAGACGGGCCACTGATATTACCTCCTTTGTAGCAGTTCCGTGAGTTGTTTGTTTATGTATCTCATTTGTATCGTACTATGTTATATAAATTTAATGTTTGGTTTCAAGTTATTGCTTTCTTCACGTTGCGCATTCGTTTGTTGTTTATATATAACTAGATGAGTATTTTTAACAAAAAGATCTAACACATTGAGCATTGTCTTCTAATATAATTCTCTGTTATATTCATTATGGATCCGGGACCGAGACGCCCCGACGTTTTGACCCTCCAGGCGAGCCACGTTTCAGATTATATTGGCTCAGGACAGGTAAAACATCTTTTGTATATGCTAGTTAGCATTGGCACTAATTTTAATTTTTCGCATTATACTTAATCAATTCTTTTTGACGTGCAGCCCGTACCTGATATCACCATGATCGAGCATTCACAGAGCCATTCATCTTGGGTCATTGAGGATGAGAGAGTTCTAGCGCTGATCTCTCAGGCTGGTTTTCGGGAGTGTTCGACGGTTCGATATATCAGGCTTGATTGGCCGCTTATCACTGCTTTGATTGAGAGGTGGAGGCCAGAGACCAACACCTTTCACATGCATATAGGGGAGTGCACCATCACTTTACAGGACGTGGCCGTCATTCTTGGGCTCCGGATCGATGGGCTGCCAGTTACGGGCACCGATGATCATAGTTAGCCCGAGGTATGTGCCCGGCTTCTTGGACAGGTTCCCGACTTGAGGAGTGGTGCGATGAAGCTATCGTGGCTTCGTCAGACATTTCAGGGCGATATACCACAGGATGCCGATGATGAGACGCTCCAGTTTCATGCTCGTGCATACATATTGCACATGATAGGGTGCGTGCTTTTTTCGGATGCGAGCAAGACTCTCGTACATGCACGATGGCTGCCACTGCTGGAGGATTTTGGTGTATACGGCGCACTATCGTGGGGCAGTGCGGTGTTGGCATATTTGTATCGAGAATTGAGTAGAGTATCCCTGATGCAGAATAAAGAATTCAAGGGATGCTGCACATTGATACAGATTTGGTCATGGGAGCGCATTCATATTGGACGACCCACTTTACTTATGCACCGTGACTTAGAGGGGCAGTATCCGTTGGCATACAGGTATAATTGTACACACACATATTTCATTCGTAACCTGAATATTTGTACTTATATATTCGCTATTCTGCATATAGGTATAACGTGCGATACGCTCAGTACAAATCAGCGACGCGTCACCGTCAGTTTTACCGAAATGAGCTTGATGGCCTCCAGCATGAACAGGTAAATATAAAACTCAAGAAGTATGAATATTATAGTTTTTCTGTATGATACTGATAAATGTTTTATTTTATTTCAGTTCAAGTGGAGACCCTATACACCGCCGGAGCTGGATATGCATTCTCTTGCACCCATTTGCCGAGATAGTCCCGACTTGTGGAGAGCGAGAGTTCCATTGATTTGTTGGGAGATCGTGGAGATGCATGTCCCTAACCGTGTGCTACGACAGTTTACGCTCTCTCAGCATGTACCAGATCCTGTTGAGCAGATATCTCGTCGGCGGCGACCTACTTCGCACCATAACGACTGGGCCGTAGTCCGTGCGGCCTACATAGACAGGTGGGCTCACAGGTATGATTTCATCCAGGGTGCGAGGCCCACGGCTGTTGACTACACCGCATATATGGGTTGGTATTGGGATATCACACGTAGATGGATCACACGTGACCCACAGCCCTTAGCTGGACACATGCCACGGCCACCGACAGACAGTTACATCCCTAGTGGGATGAACGAGAGAGATTACGTAAGTTTCTAAGCTAAATTATAATATTTTTTTCTTGAGTTGGTACTTAATAAATTATTTACCTCACAGGTCCATGCTTTGGATAGCATTCAGGCTGATATTGATGCGACCGTGCCTGAGATTCAGGATCAGGTGGCGTTAGGGCTCCTCGGCAGGATCAAGAAGACCATAGCACAGGTGTTTCATAAGACTCACGTCGACGAGTTCGCAGGCCGTGAGGACAGGTCTCGATCATTTGGGCAAGCGTACACTCGGCGCCGACGGCCACGTGACGATGACGGCGGCACTTCGCATGCTGATGGAGCCGGCACTTCGCATGCTGATGGAGCCGGAACTTCACATGCTGATGAAGCCGGCACTTCACATGCTGATGGAGCCGGCAATATATTGCAGTAATTATTGTCAACAGGTAAATAGTTGTATATATGAGTTAAATAAGTAGATGTATGCATGCTGTGCATGTTTTTGTAAAACCTGCAACTTCACGGGAGTTGAAATCCCGTGAAGTTGCAGTGCAAATTTCGCAGAGAGCGATTTTGGCCTGTAACTCCACGGGATTTCAACTCCCGTGGAGTTTTAACAATACAACAAACTCCACGGGAGTTGAACTCCCGTGGAGTTTATTGGGGGAAGTAAATTTCACGGGAGTTCAACTCCCGTGAAGTTTAAAAACGTACTAAACTTCACGGGAGTTGAACTCCCGTGAAGTTTCGTAAAGTTTTTTAGAAAAACCGACCTGGTTTCAGCGACAGTGCTGACACCAGGTCGGTTTCTCTAAATAAATGTGAAACGGGTCTTTTTTTGCAATAAAATGTCCAAATAAGTTGGTTTTGAAAATTTGTCCCATAATTTTATTCTACTAAGTTTTCACTTCAAGCTACAGTGGTTAAAATTTAACTATTTGCAAATCAACCCAAACAAATAATTCATTGCAATTTTAAACCCCGTTGCCTTACCCCATTTATATATTCTCTCTTTTATTCTCCATCTCTATCACCAGCCCTAAATCCCCCTCTCCAACCTCAAAACCCTAGCGATCTGGTTCCAATTTCGTGGCAAATTTGGATTCAACATCGATTAAAACCCTTACGATCTCCAATACTCGATCTCTCATCGAGTATCGAGTAAGTCTTGAATTCATTGCCATACTCGTTCCTATTACTCATCAATTTCCTCGATTCGATTAATTTTAAATGTATATACTGCTTTGTAGTCCAATTAAGTTATCTATTTGTAGAATTTAATCAGATTGTTATTTTTATTGTGATATAAAATTTGGGGAAAACTCTGAATTGGGTTAAAAGTTCATGCATTTGTAACCAATGACATTACTTAATGACACAAAATGTTCACTACTGAAAAATATTCGATTAGAGAACACAATCTATTAAAGTAGAACTACTTCTTGATTCACAATGTTAAGGCAATCTTTTTGCGAATTAAATTTCTAATTTGTATAAGGAATTGTATGAAAAATTTGTGTTTGATCTGAGCCAAATCAGTTACATTGGTAGTAGTTGTATTAGTTAAATTGGATAAAACTCAGTGTTTAAAACCGATGGCAATATTTAATGGCAAGAAATAATCAATAGTTCCATGAAATCTGCTTGAAAATATTAATCTATTTAGAGTGTAACTACATCTTGATTTTATTGTGTTTTTCATTTTATCTCATATGGAATGTGATTGAACCATAGGCGGTGGGGATGTCGACTCCTGCGAGGAAGAGACTGATGAGGGATTTTAAGAGATTGCAGCAAGATCCTCCTGCAGGTATTAGTGGTGCTCCCCAGGACAATAATATCATGCTCTGGAATGCGGTAATATTTGGGTATGTTTGCAAGGAAGAGATTGATAAAGGCTTTGTTGTTGTTGTTGCTATTTCAATTAAATATCTGGACTATTATATTGCATAGTTTGGAAATTTCGCTATTTCTTGATGCTTATTGTGTTATTTGATTGGATTGCAGCCCCGATGACACTCCTTGGGATGGAGGTGAGGCAATTTAATTTTTTAGGCAGTGTTTCGCTCAAACAAGCTACTAGTTCATTAACTCATTATCATTTTTGTGCGTAGATCGATTTGGGAATTCTGAGTTTATAGTGGAACTGTGAATTACTTTAATAGGTTCATCAATTTAGCAATTTGATATTTATAATTGCTTTGGGTTCATTGATGATAAAATTCTATGCTTCATATGCAGTCTGTTGTAATTTGCTCGCTTTTCTTATTATTTATTTATCTTCCTGTTCTCTTTCCTCTAATTTGGTCTTCTTGGTCATGGTAAATCTGCCAGGCACGTTCAAATTGACACTTCAGTTTACAGAGGATTATCCAAATAAGCCACCGACTGTGCGCTTTGTCTCTCGCATGTTCCATCCAAATAGTGAGTTCAATGGATCTGTACCTTTGTATTTGATTTAGATAGTGCCTTCCTCGTCATTCTTTGAGGGTCCAATTGTGTTTTGGGCATAAAAATATTTTGATTATGAGAACCTACGCAAAAGTAACATACTTGTTTGAAACATAGTTCATGTTAGTTGTAATTTTTCAGTGCATGTATTATATTTGGCTTTCTTGATTGAGCTTTGCCTAAAGTTGAGGGCAATTTCTTAGTTAAAAGCATGGCATCTCTCTTCTTCTAGGCTTCATTAGTCAGTGAAATTTTGAAGCTTGATACTTTGTTTTGAAAGCTTCTGTTACATTATTATTACCTGTGTTTTTCTATTGCCAACTGGGCATTTGGATTTATGGCAACACCCTCTTGCCATAGTATTTAAGGCAGAAATTAGGCATCCATGTAGATGGTTGATATTAGATTAATAGCTGGCCTAGCTGGTTGCAGAACTTTACTGAACCTTTCATGGAACTTTAATGAAGGGGAGGGGCTAAAAAGTCATTTTGTGAAGCATGCAGCCGATAGTGGGTTAATGGGAGACCGTCTCGAATTTTTATTAAATAAGTTAACTGGAGTTAGTATTTGATAAGTAATTGGTAGTACTTAGTAGAGAGTCTTTACATGTACTTCAGGGTAGAATTTCTTGTCTAGCACATTTTTGCGTGTGAGACTCGAGTTATGCTCTTATGGCGATTCCCCGGTGTTGGCTCAGTTAGTTCCCTACTCTCATCTTATAATCTTTTAAATTTTTAATTTTTTATTTCTGATATTTCCTTTTCTTTGTCATATCATTTCTTTTTATATTTCATCGAGGTGGTCTTAGGGTCGGGTCAACCGTGATAGTGAGAATTCGAATCTGGTATGGGCAAGATTGCTTTACCCATTTAAGATGAGATTAAAATAATATGAAAAAGCCAATCTAATCCAAAAAGTGGATGAAATCCTACGTCGTCTTCCCTTGATGTTCCAAATGAAGCAACTAAAAAACTTAAATCTACTATCAGTTATCACCATTCATCCTGCAATCGCAATCTGTTGTAGGGTCTTTTGAAGATCGGTTGCCTCTTTACTGCCAGCTACCACATGTTACCAAATTTTGTCAAGAGCTAGTTGAGAGTCATTAATAATAACTGAGAAGAAACTGTTGCATGTTACCAAATTTTGTCAAGAGCTAGTTGAGAGTCATTAATAATAACTGAGAAGAAACTGTTGAAGCTTACTCCACTATTGATTGATCTTGTTGGTGTCGAGCTTTTCTAGTGAAACAAGACAATACTTGATTCATGATTTAGAAATTTTTAGCTTCCAATCTTCAGCACAGATGCTACTTTTGAACAAATGTATCATGCGGAACAAGAAGTTTCAAATTTGTCCTTCACTTTAAAATGTGATGATGAGTTTTTTCCCCAACAATGGGAGAATAAAGAAGGGGAAGAATGAAAGTCACTTTGTTAAATGTGCAGCCCACTATGTGGCTATGGGCTAATGGGAGGTTATCCCGAAATGTATTGAATATTTAGTTATCATCTACTACTTTTTATTCCTCACTTCCATTTCTTTTTATCTTATTTAAAGTTGTATTAGAACCTGTTCGACCGAGATATTCAGTTAAGGATTTTTGTTTGGCACAAACGAGATTGATTTGTATGCTTCCATTTGAGACTAGAACAAAGAGTTATGAAAAATTTTAATTTAACTTCAAGAAATGATGAAATAAATCCTATATCCTCCTTCAAAGGATGGTCTAACTGTCTAAGTGAAGCAAAAAAAAAAATTTAATCTGCTATTTTTGCTCAGCCTGCGACCAATTGTGGTATTATTTATAGAACACGTCGAAAAACCAATTGCTTCTATACAATCAATTATCGATTGGAGCAAATCACCAAATTTTGATAAGCAACCGATTCAGTAGTCACTTATAGTCACCAAAGAAGAAATTTGTTTTCTCCAGGGTCGATTGATCTTGTTGATGTCGATCTTTTCCTAGAGTCACAAGATAACGCTCGAGTATGATTGAGTACGCCATAACGTTACTGGGCTTATATGGCAATAAATTGGCCCTGGACAAGATAGGTCGGGTCTTATGGTTGAATATTGCTATAAAATATTTGAAAAATCTGTCTTATGGTTTGATCAGCAAGTTGAAGTGTCAAATAAGCTGGTGGGTGCCGCGGCGAATACTTCATTCAAGTTGAGGTATTAGATCAAGTTACCAAGGAGATATGGCAGAGGTATGGCGTGGAATTTTAGCGTGCCATATATGCTGAAGACAAGGATTGACTTGTGGTTAGATAAGCCTTGATTCCAGAAAAATTCCAGTAATATGTTTTTGGCATGTTGGCTTCAGACTATTAGTTTGTCCTTATTGAGCTTTTATCGTGATACGATTAAAAGTTCGGATTCTCACTTCTTGTTTATGCATTAAGATTGTGATGACCGACTCTAGTACATTTTCTATTTCATGCCCTCTTTGAAGCTTTTGTTGCTTTGTTATTCTTAGATGACATCTGCTTGTTCTTTTTTTTATGATAACCATTCTGGCCATTCTAATCTTTAATTTGCATTGGTGTTTAGTTTATGCTGATGGAAGTATTTGCTTGGATATTCTACAAAATCAATGGAGCCCTATATATGACGTTGCTGCAATACTCACATCAATCCAGGTGTGATAGAATCTTCCAAGTTTGGTTTTTATTGCAATTTTTTTGTTCATCTGGCAGTTTTTCTTGTCTTGGGTATGGAATTTCTGTAAGATTTTTGAACTTGTTTGCAGCTTCAATTGTTCAACACCTTGATACTCTCATATAGACAGTTAATTAGTTGGTAATATTGCTTACGCGAACATTAATATTTTGCTGTTTTGACAATGATCTTCTGTATTCATTATTGTTTGTACTATTTGACCCTGCATTAAATTGTTGAAAGCTTGGTACTTATGTTTCAAATCCCAGTGTTATCTTAAGTCACTGAGAAGAGAAATCAACACCTTTCCAATTTAGCTTAAGTGGGGTATGGCACTTCACTGTGAGTAGGGGTGGTAAACGGGTCGGGTCGGGTCGGGTTGGGTCGGGTCAATAATGACCCGATCCATATAAGTGTGACCCGACCCGACCCGTTTAATAAATGGGTCAATATGATTCGACCCGTTTATTAAACGGGTTACCCGACCCAACCCATATAACCCAAATGACTTGTTTCTAGTTTTCAGGGTTCAAGGTGATTTGTAGTTTGTTTGGTTGACACATATGTCGTAGTTTTCAACATTTTCAACACCTTGGAGCAATGATGAGCAGCATCTAACAGAAAGGCAACAAAAAAAAGAAAAAAAAGAAAAATGATACAAGCACATAAGACTAACAGTAAATATATGCTAGCAAATAAAACATTTGGAAGCAAAAGATAATTTCATCCAAATCGCTCGAAGTAACACGTCATCCTATTTTTACCAAAGAACAAATTTTCAAATCAGACCCATTTCAAAAAAAAAAATTATTTAAACCGACCCATTTTTTTTATTTATCAAAACCGACCCGATTTTGTAATTAGCAGCTTAATCACCATCCTAAACAGTCGGGGTTGCCAACCCCGACTATTTAGAAATGTGTTAAACCCTAATTAGAAGCCTTAAACCCTAAAAATTAATGTCCTAAATAGTCGGGGTTGTCAACCTCGACTGTTTAGGAAGGTGATTAAGTAGCTAATTACAAAATCGGGTCGGTTTTGGTAAATAAAAAAAAAGGGTCGGTTTTAAAAAAAAATGGGAATGGGTTTGTTTTGAAAAATTCTTCTTTACCAAAACAAATCATCCAAATAAAAATTTCATCCAAATCGCTCACCTTGATCATTTTGAGCGGTGAAAACAATGGAGGCGGTCTCGTCACCTATCAAGCACTCAGAGATCTTGGTTTGACGAAGGTGAGGAGACGCGGCACACCCCTTTTGAAGCACCGTGTTCGAGGTCTTGCCGTCGCTCGCTGCTCCCCGTCGCTCGCCATCACTCGTCGTCACTGGCCCCCGTCACTTGCCTTCGCTCGCCACCGTTCGCCAACCCATAATCAAGCTCTAGGGTTTCTGAAAGAGTCAGTTGGGTTCTGGTTCTTAACTTCTTATTTGGGGGTTTGTGATATACGGGTCAGTCGGGTCAACCCGAATTGACCCGTTTAATAAATGGGTAAATTTGGGTTGACCCGTTTATGACCCGATCCATATATTTCGATCCATATTCGTTATAAACGGGTTGGGTCGGGTCGGATTGATGGGTCGGGTCATAAATTGCCACCCCTAACTGTGAGAGACTGGATCTGAATCTTGCCATCTGAGTATAACACTTTGTTCGGAGACTGCAAGGTTGAATCTTGCGAGCTGTGTTAGCTAGGGAATTTTTGAACAACAAAAGTAGGATCATGCTATTGTAGACTTCTTATGTAATGACTCCAGATTCTAGTCCTTGAGGCCTAACAGTGGTTTGTAAAGGTTCATTGTGGTCATGTGCGCAGCAGGACCTATGAATAAATGTAAGGCAATAGTTCCTGGCTTTTCCTAAGTTTCTCTCTTGCTTTGAATTTCTCTATCCCTGTAATAGGGGCCTTCTTTCTCCTCTTAGGATTGTTTTCCCCCTCGCTCTAGTCCTTCATTATGTAAGCCTGTGATCTTTCTCCAGTAACCTTTCTCCAGAAAAGGTTTATAATACTTTCCTCTGGCATGTAGCCAACCCTATCGAGGATTTTTGTTTCTTTTCTTTCAAACATTTCACACATCTCCTTAAGCTAAATTTAGTGTCTCTATAGCCACTGCATATGACCCATGAAGATTTTACTATTTCAACTTTATTAATATTGACTTTGATCCTTCAATAGTACCATTACAACTCTTGCCTTTCACTTCTTCCCTCTTCATAAGTTTCTTCCTTGGAGTATTGTCCACTAACCTAGAGAAGGAAGACCTTTACATTTCCCTCCTAAGGTAGATTTTTTGAGACAATATATAGAGTAGCTTGACAATCGAGCAAAGCCCTTCATGAGGTCAAAGGGATTGAACTGAGGAACAGTTGCAGTGGTTTTACTTAGGGAGGAAGGTAACAGAATATGAATTACTCGTACGGTTTGACATTTAAAATGGTACTATGGCATTGACATCCTGAAATGCTTTGCTACATGAAACTTCTAAACTCTTTTGTGATACTAATTTCAGTAAGAATAATAAATCTGTCTGAATGATTCTAAGTGAAGAGAATTATTGGCGAAGAAGGATCATAAGAATCATACTTTTGTTTATGATTTGTAGGTCTGTGTGATATTTATGTTTTGATGCGTTATTTAACAGATAGAACTGGTCTCCATAAATATATACACTGTTTGGCTTTGAATGGTGAGGCATGAAATGTGTCAAAATTCTGAACTTAATCTAGCATTTTGCAAATAGAATCATAAGTATCCTAATCAACCATGTGATAGTTATAGGAATAGGTGCTTCTCATTAATCATCATGAAAGGTTAAATCTAGAGTTGTACAATATTAGTACTTCTCTAATGTAGAGTCAGAAATTTTCCATACTTGGCACACCTCTCTCAACTGCTTTTAAATAACCTCTATATCTCCTAGTTCTTAAGTTTTCTGGTTAGTTACAGGACTTGACTCTGGGGATGCCTCCAGCCCAATCCCCACTTCTTTACCACTCCGCCAGACCTCACAAGCTCCTAGCTCCTTGTGGGTTAAATGTGATTCTCAAGGGCAAAAATACATGCAGACCCTTAACCATTTTAAGGAAATAAGCATATGCTATTAATCATATTACAGAAGTCAGTGTCCCCATCCCTCATTCCAAATGATGTCTATTAGAAGTCACAAGGGCAAACTACACGGTAAATTTGTGTCGTTGAGCTTGATGAAATGTTTTCTGGATTTATCTGAAAATTTATGGGTCAGGAGACCTGATGTAGGTTTTTTACCAAATAACCCCAAAATCAACCATATCTGCACATTTGCACCCAAATCTAGTATCTGTTAATCCAACGCCACCCCCCCCCTCCCTTTTCTGTCCAGTTCGATTGACGTTGAGTTAAAATACCCCCAATCGCTAATTCATCCCCAAAGAACTTGCCCTAGTCGCTCCCTTGTGAGGAAAATTCTGTGAGTTCCCTGAATTTCGAATCCTTTGCTTATGAAGGTAATTCTAAGATTTGGGAGTATTTTAACTATATGTGCTAGATTTGGAGGGAAATTAGCAAATATCTAGATTTCAAGGGTATATTTTACGAATATGATAGATTTGCGGTGCATATAGACAAAAACCCCTTTGATATAACTTGTTTAGGAGTCATATATGTAAAGAATGGGTTGGTTTTCCAGATACTTCCCATGTTATTAGGGATTAGCCACTTATTACCCCTATACTTGTTAATTAGCACATTGAACCCCATCTGAAATTGTGCCCATCAAGTGGGTGTCATGTGACATCATTGTGTTACAACTTACAAAGAGGTCCAATGATATTTCGACGTGTCGCAGAGAAACTCTGTATTTTCTACAGGTGGTGAACGTACGCCCTTACAGGTGCAAATAAAGAAGAAATGATCATGTTTGAGCATCAGAAGTTCAACGTGTTAATCAATAGGTTTTCTGTTAATAAGTGACTAACCCCCTATGGTATAAGGGGCATACCTTCACTTCAACCCTTAAAAACACCCCCTACTTGCATCCAATTTTGCTGTTATAGTCTACATGTTCATATTTATTTGGATGCCCTGCTTACATTCAATTGCACCTGCTGCAGTCATTGCTCTGTGACCCAAATCCCAACTCCCCAGCAAACTCTGAAGCAGCACGCATGTTTAGCGAGAATAAAAGGGAGTACAATAGGAAAGTGAGAGAGATAGTGGAGCAGAGCTGGACAGCAGACTGATGATGATGATGGTGAACATGTCTGGCGCAATAATGCAAGAATTGGTGCTCTGCCCATATCCCAACAAAAACTATCAAAATGATTGAACTTTAGACGTGTATGTTTGTATTCCAACCGCAACATATGGCAATATGTGCTTGTTTGCTGTATATTTGTGCTTGCAATGTGTCCCTGCTGGATATTTGAACTCCATCTGCTTGGAGATTGTTTGAGCCATGTACTGTGGATTCCCTTTGCCTATTTATGTAGAACTACCGGTGCAGTTATGACCTTAATGAAGAGATTTCACAGTGATAAATCATCACTTGAATTTGGTTACAACCTTCATTCTCGTATTTGTTTCTTTGTTATTCCTTATTCTGCAGATTCTTTTAAGATAGCCAGTTTCGTATAGTCCTAATAAGGACTGCATCGATTTCAATTGAGTTTTTTCGTTGAAGAGTTGCGTGTTGTAGCGCAACAATTTGTGCTTCTGCCCATACCCGAACAAGAACGATCGAAAGCATTGGACTTTAGCCATATGTTTATATTCCGACGACATATGACGATGTGCGTTTCTTGCTTGCTGTATGTTTTGTGTTTGAAATGCGTCTATGCTGGGTATTTGAGCCCTTCGTCTACTTGGATATTGTTTGAGTTTTGACCATGTGCTCTGGATTCCCTCTGGCTGTCTCAAGCATTTCCATGGAGAGTTTTCCTATTGAGGGGCTATGGTTGTGGACTCAAAAAAAAATTATTGGTTAATCATTTCCTGTCTTTTTTTGTTCCTTTATCTTCCTTCAATTGGTGATATTTGATTAACATGGTTCAGAAATCAACAGGTTATTGCATTTTCTTATCGCTTTGGTGTCGGATCCTATATTTGGTTAGTGGTTACGTTTCAACTTCTGAGCCATTTGAGTAAGCTATGGCCCTATGGGACATTTTAGATGCAATTTTTGGGTATCTATAACCAATAAGGGTGGCACTAGGGGCACACCCTCAACCACATCCCAAACCACACCCCCTCTCTCATATGCTACAGTACACCGGGTCTCACATGGGATTTTAAAATTTTAAAATCTCATGTGAAGCCTGGTGCACTGTAGCATATGAGAGAGGGGGTGTGGTTTGGGATATGATCGGGGGTGTGCCCCTATCATTTTCCATTAACTAGCAAAATTCAGCCAATGCCGTACAAAATGACACAGAAGGTGACAGGAAAACCTGTCCACTTGAGTGTTGTACTTTTGCCCATGGACCTGCCACCTTTTAAAAAGAATTCTTATATATGACCTTTTGTCAGAATGTTACAGGGCATTATATATTACTCTATTTCTCTTTTTATTATAGGGCATTTTAGGGTCCGTTTGTTTCGGAAAAAAAAACATGAAAATTAAAGAATAGGAAACTTATTTTCTATAATAGGTTTTTTCTTGTGTTTGGTTGACTTCTTAAAAGTAAAAAAGTAAATGAGATAAGATGAGTTATCATTATATTATTGGATGATATGAGTGATTTTTAAAGAAAACTTGTTTTGAGGTTATTTGGTTGGCTAAAATAATAAGGAAATGAATTATAAGAAACGTATTTCTTTGTTTAGTTTTTTTTTCTTGTGTTTGGTTCATTTTTAAAACTAATAAAATAAATGAGATGAGATGAGCTGTCATTATATTATTAGATGATGTGAGTGGTTTTTAAGGAAACCAATTTCCTTGTTTTTTTAGGAAATGGATGGAAAGAAAATTTTAATGAGATGAGATAAATTGTCACAATATTATTAGATGATGTGGGTGATTTTTAATGATGAGGGGAGAGGAGAAGAAATGATATGAGATGAGTTAGATGATGTGACTCATTTTTTGTGTTTGTTTATTTTTAAAGATAAGAAAAGTGATGAGATGAGATGAGTTATCACAATATTATTAGATGATGTGAGTGATTTCTAAGGATGGAAATGAATGAAAAATAATATTTTAATGATTTCCTAATCTAATATCCTTTTCTTTGATTTTAGAAAACCAACCAAACAGGCCCTTACAATATTGCTCTTCTTTTATTTACCAAGCTGCCACATCATCCTATCAGATTTTAATTGATCAAATGCATCCAACGGCTACAGAGTTAAGTGGATAAGAGGTGCTATCCACGCAAGTGGAAAGTAGCTCATCTCTATATATATAGCTATGTAAATTTTGTCTAAAAAACAGTCCAAAATTAGTTGAAATCCTTTTCAAACTGTTTACTTGATTAGCTTCATGAGCATATGACATACAAAATATACAAAGTACTGCCATCATCTTAAAATGGCAGTAGGAACTGTAGAACCAGCTCAAAATACTCAACATCACAACAAATACAAAACCCTTGGAGATCTGTTATGTTATCAATTGATCGTGAGGCCATCACTGCTAGTCCAACCATCTTGAACTTGAACTGAATACTGCAGATTCCAAAGTACATCGTCTATCGATGGCCGCTCCTTGTGATCTTTTGCCACACAGTTAAGGGCAACGCCGACTAATGTCTGCAACGAGTCGAATGCAAATGTTCCTCGGATTGTGGGATCAGTGATCTCCCGCAGCTTTGCGGGAACATGGGATAAGCAATCTTGGAGCTGCAGATCATCGTCATTGTTATCACCACCATGTTTACTACTATTAAACTTTTGGTAGGTTTTATAAATATGGGTTGATACTTGTCTTAATTTTTCGATTTAGGGTAAATTTCACGAATATCATGAAATAGATAAAACAGTAGCCAGTGTGCCCTTCCACGGTCTTGGTTGGTGCCTCACTGATGTGGCACACATCCAACTACTGCAATTCATATCATCAACACACACAAACCATCACTAACGACTCAGATGTGTGTCATGTCCACAACAAACCAGTCAAGACTATGAATGAACATTTTTGCCTCGTTTACTCGATGAAATATTAGCAATTTTTTTGGAAAAAAAAACATTACATAAACTATTTTTATTATAAATTTACCACAAATGTTCAAATCGACAAAAAATATCATATCAAAAAACTATATGGTAGTTTATGATGATATCAGAAAGCCCATGATATTTTTCTAACAACAATGTAAGTTCATAGTAGTTTTATTTATTTTATCTGAAAATTCATGTAGTTCTGTAAAACTTAAATAAAGTAAAAATATCCACATTGACACGGTGCACCCCTCATTTACGCAGTGATGCCGGCGTTGCCAATGCCCTTTTGCGCCTTGCAAGCGCCCTGAGCTTCACACAGGGAGCATGTAAGGCATAAGCTCGTATAATATTTTTTTATTTTAACATTTCAGCCAGGTCTTTATACCCAGTAACCTATATCCCAAAAATAAGTAGCCTGATTGAGGACCCTAAGAAGTTCTCGTTTACTATTTGTGACATTAGTCTTGATTTGACTTTTGATTTGGAAAATTTTGAAATCTGCTACTATGTTGAGCATATTGGCCTTATGAATTCATGAACATGTAACATACCATCTTGACATAATTTTATGTGAAAATTCATGCACACATTCTTTTGTACTTGATTATCTATCTTGAAAAACTATGTGTGGGATGTGCAACTCGCTTCACTCTGGGGCACACATTGCATTATGCCTTGTGCATGTGTGCATAAAGGGACTTTGCACCCCATGTAGCGCCTCACCAATTGATAACAATGCATAATATGTTATGCTGAACTGAGAGTTTGTGATCTTTTTCTCCAATAAAGATAGTTTATGATATTTTTATGTGAAACCCGAATAGTTCATAGTAGTTTTCTTAATTTTACCTTTCAAATTATTCATTGTCTATCAGCTCGGCATCTCTTTATAGCATACAAAATCGAAAACACTGACAAATGTTTCTGATTTTCAACAGAATAGGTGTATTACCATTTTATATATACTGTAATAACTTCTATTTTTTACTTTTAGGAAACCAAGAATATGGATTATATGTTTATTTATATGCAAGATTAAATAGAGGAAAAAGAACACACCTCAACTTTCAGAGCTTCCAATTCACGCTGGGACCCGGGAGGTTTGCCCGTGATTATTTCTAAGAGGATCAGGCCAAGCTGATAAACATCTTCTTTCTCACCATGCTCTAAACCATGTATACTGTAAATATAACAAAAATATTATAGTTAAGATTCAATATGCACTATAGTAGTCATATGTTAACTCTGGTTCAAAAGAATTAGATATATGTTCCGTATTACTGTTTAGCTAAAAGAAAGGAGACGGTTGGTATTCGTTCCTAGTAAAACTGAGACAATATTCCTCGTAAAATTATCCTTCTATTCATTTTTCACTCAAGACAAATCAGAATCCTACATAGCAGATAGTTATGAGCAACAAAGTGGTTCTCTAATGGCTAGCCCAGTGGAGAGCATCTGGATCTATCTAAAACACAGTCTTCATTCTCCGCATGATATAGTACTTCAAATTTACCTTGGAGTTATATTATATCTTAATTCTACTGTTTATTATTTGAGAAATACTTTATCTGTTCATTTTCTAACCCACTTCATATCTTCAAGAGACAAATAAAACAATCCATACAAACGCGGGAAAGACGCCACACAATAAAGCAATGAACAGTCATCTTAGTAGACTTGTGAGTAGGTTATAGAGAGCTAGGTAAAGTATTTTGATTATTATTTCTAGTCTAAGAAGTCACAATAATTGTCATAATTTAGAACCAATCTTGTTTTGCCACAGTATGTGTTTTCTGTTTCAATTTCGGGTGGTTACTGCTATGGGAGAAAGCTATGTTCAAATTCAACAGTAATATTATTATAGAATTTTCAGTTGACCTCCCTTCCATCCCCTGCTTAAAATTACTTTTCAGTTGACCTCCCTTCCATCCCCTGCTTAAAATTACTTTTAAACAAAAACAATATTATATTGTGCTGCTACTGTTTGCTACTTATGATTGCTGTTATTGAGATATTAGTATTGGTATTGAGAAATTGATTAAATATCACTGCATGACAATACTATTGCTCTCATAGCATTATATTATTTATCATTTCTACATTATTTCTGATATTTTGTTAGCAACTTAGAACATTCACAAGTTTTCAAAAACATGAACGTTTAACAGTTAAGTGATGCTATGTTATTTCTGAGAACAAAAAATAATAGAACAAAAATATACCTTCCACAATCATTCTCTCCCAACGCACTGAAAGGGCTTGCTGAACCTATCTGGAAAAACACGACAAAGAGAAAATAGCTAAGACTGGTATCTTTTAAGGATCAAACCCTATAACCTGATATGTATGCCCCTTAACAATTACCTTATTATTCTTTGATATCATGGGAAGATTATAGTTGCATATTTTTGCTGTCAGAGTTTCATCCAAAAGAATATTTTCAATTCCAAGATCATTTCCAACAATACCAGGTACTGTTACTGTATGCAAGAACTGAATGCCCCTTGCGACCCCAATAACAGCTGATACTCGTTGTGGCCATTTCAGCATCTCTCGCTTTCGCCACTCTGCCAAGTAGACCATATTAGGATAAAATTCACAAACTTGGAGGTTTTGCATAAAACTGTCATAAATTTCTTTTTGGATTATCATGAACGTCCGAAACTGTAAAAAATACCATGAACTATTGGAAATTGTTGCTAACAACATTAACAGCTTGGATAAACGGTTCAAACTTCCCTTAATTATATCTATGGGTTTTTCTAAGGGGGGCACGTGGGCACTCATAAAGGGAAGAGTGGGAGAGAGAGGTGAGGAGAGGAGAGAATAAGTGGAAAACATTGGGACCTACTTGCTACTCCCCTCTCTCTATATCACATCCGTTAATGAGTGCCTATGGGCACGATAAAAAACCCTACATCTATAAACCCACAAAATTTATAAGGCAATATAGAAGATATATAATTTACATAAGTGTAAAATTTCTGAAGGTAACTAGTTACCCTAACTGTCATCAGGCATGGTAGTTTTCTCAAATAAAGAAGTTTATGGTATGCGAAAGACCCTCTGGAGTTCACGGATCTATTCTCGGGCTCTATGATTCCAAGGATTCGAGAGTAAAAATTTCTATTTGCAACTCTTACCTGTGAGATGACTCCTTAATGTTCCATTTGAGACGTACTCAAAAACAAGGAAGATGGTTTCATTTGCACCGTCTTGGCCACTATGAATGCAATGTCCAAGGATGCTCACCAAATTAACATGCCTGAGTTTTGAAATTATGTCTGTGTATTGAGTCAGACTCTGTGGTGATAGCCTCTGTTTTAACTTCAAGCATCTCACTACCACTCTGGATCCCTCGCGGAGCCAGCCTTTATACATCTGTCAGGACCCAAAAAATGTCAATGCTAATAGATTAAAAAAATAGATTCTAGATAACAAAAGCTCTATGATAAGGATCTCAGGGCTTCACTGGAGAAAGTAACGAGATCTTTGTGTACCGTTTAAGCCATGCTTCAATTTGATGTTTGTATATTCTTAGATATACAGTGATGAACTACAAATTTTAAGGGTTCATAAGGATAAGATTCATCAAATTGAAAGTTACATTATTAGGGCACATAAGAAAAGTTTTATGCTGCGGAGGATGGTCAGATAATCATGCTGTTAATTAACAATCATTTTGGTGAGCGACTCTGTAGGAGTATGCAAACTGAGATTTGCAAATTTGACCCGCTAGCTACAGTGTCCTATTTATTGCACCATGTTCTCCCTTTAGTTGTATTATGAGACTGGTTTTCTTTGTGCAGCAAAACTTCATGAGACCATCTCCAGCAGGTAGGCAAATTTTTACCTATTTTGTCATGCCACATCAGCTTATTCATCCAACACATCATTCAATAACACCCATTTCCCTTCCATTCCTGCAGCAGCTAGTTTTTCAGAAAGTTTTTTACTTTATTAGGGACCCACATGTCTCCATCATATACCCCACCATATTTCTCCACCATATTTATTCAATTTTTTTTTGTGTCCAAATAATACAAAGTTAGGCTCTATTTATAGAGCTCGAAAAATTATGAATTATGGTGCAAAAATAAAAAATTAATTCTGAGTAAATTATTGTCAAAATATCAATTAATAATTGAGGATGTCAGCAGCAGTGCACGCGGACGCGTGTTGCTCATCCATTGGGCCACATAATTTTTCTTTTCTTTTTTAATGCCAGCTGCTTTATGGAGGGGCCCCCGCTTGAGTCAAATTTGTGCAGAGAAAACGGACGTGAAAATTTTCCCCTCTGCGGCTTCGTTTTTCATTTCCCTATCCCAAAAACCACCGGCTGTACCAAAAAACACTCCCAAAAACCACCTGCTGCGGGTGGTCTGATTCTTACTCCCAACATCAGTACTTTGCGATAACGTTCTCCACTCTTATACAAACTAACTATCAATGGGGGGTTCATGTACTAATATTTGGATATAGATCGTTCTTATGCACAAACTACTAGTCTACTACTGGCATAATATTATTTCTAGGCAAGAGTAATTTAAACGTTTCTTGTAATGTATAATAGTTTCTTGTCTACTTTTTTCCTATAATATTAAGATAAAGTCCATTCACATTCACACCATATAGACAAAATTACCTGTCCTTGAGCACCATCAGAGATCAAATTCAACGTCTCAAATCCATTTGTTGCTTCTTCAATCTCCTCCATGGTGAAAACCCGATAAGGGGTCAGCCCAAGTGTACCTATCCTTACTGCCTGAGACATGTGCCCTACAAAGATGAAAACACATTGCATAATTACCCAAAAAAGTTACATAGAAATATATCAAAAACCTTTAATCACACTTACTTGTGTCTGCGGGTGTTCTTGGAGAGACATGAACTGATGTTTTTGCTACGGGTTTGGGTAATTTTACTAATTTCACATTCTCTTCATCCTCTGATCTTACCTTCTTAAACACCAAGAACACTAACAAAGCTAAAATTGCTGCACTTCCAATGACTCCACCAATAATACCCAATATAAGGCCTAAATTGCTCTTAGACCCCTCAACCTTCTCCCTCGAAGGAGGAAGAATTGCAGCCAATGGGTCTCTACTGCAATAAGAACTCGGGTGTTGAGACTTCGAACCCATCGATTTCATGCAATTCCAAGAATCCAAAACTACCCGTGATGAAGAATTCGATACCAGGCAAGAAGGCAATCCGCCCACCAAAAGATTTCTCGAAATATCGACGTACTCAAGCTTATCCCCACAAGATAATTTTGGAGGCAGAGCTCCACTGAACCTATTTTTAGACAAATCCAAGTACTGAACCGATCTTAGAGAGAATAAAAACGGTGGGATGTTACCCTTGAGCTGATTCTTCGACAAATCTAGCTTCTCGAGCTTACCCAATGAAGCAAGCGCAGTAGGGACACTACCACTGAAAGAGTTGTTACTCAAGTCAAGTTCAGTGAGAGATGTCAACTTTTTGAGATCAGGAACTGTTCCATTGAAGAAATTTCCGCTGAGAACAAGATTCTTCATGGCGGAAAGGCGATTGACCTTCGCGGGCAGCGGGCCACAGATCCCGAGATTGACGAGGGAGAGGGAGGTTAGGCTTGGGAGCCTGGTGAGTGTAGTGAAGAAAGAATCAACAGAGAAGGGAGGAGGTAAAGGAACTGAGCTGGTGCCAGTGATCCTGAGCTCAGTGATCCTGTTGCCCAAACAAGAAACGGAGAGAGATTGAGAAGGCGGAAGGTAGCAGAAATTGGTCGCATTGCTCAACGGGGAAAGGGCAGGGGGGCTGTTTAGCATGTGCCGGAGGCGGATTAGGGTTTTGGTTTGAGAAGGGGAGAGGTTTTGTGCAGGGGTTTGGGGGATTAGGACCAAGACGAAAGCGATGAGGAAGTGTAAAGACGTCATCTTTTTGGCGAGTACGGCGATGGGTAGTGATTATTTTCCTTGGTTTTTGAGGGTTGAGGGGATTTGGGTTCGGAGAATTTATGATTTTGAAGCGGAGAAGGGAGCTTTTTCAATTAAAGGTGGAATCTTTGTTTTTTTCTCTGGGAATTTGATGTTGAGCGACGAACGATTAGCTTGTGATCGTTTTAGGAGGGTTTGAAGAAAGTGGGCGTGTGGGATTCATGATGGGTTTCAAGATGAAGAAGAAGAGGCAATGAAAGAGAGAGCGCAGAGAGAGAATTTCAAAGAGAGGAAGAAGACGGTGTTACAGAAATAGGAAACAAAATCGTACCAATAGATGAATAACAAGAATATAATGAGAAAGGGAGAGAGAGAGAGAGAGAAAATGAAAGAGATGGGTGAAGAGAGAGAGAGAGAGAGAGAGAGAGAGATTTTTGGTGGGAAACAGAGTGTCAAAGTGAGAACAGGGGAGAGGGTCCCCTGAGCGGAGAAGAGAGAGTGAGACTGGCTTGACAGCAAAGGCACGTGCGCGTCACGTGTTCCTTGCGGCATCGCGGGGCTTTCCTTTCTTTTCTTATTTTTATTTTTTAAGTATTGAGGGGGTTTGGTTCAACTGTGAGCAAGAATAGTATTAGTAATTCCATATTTTTTATGGATTCTTATCTAGTTCATAAAAAGTTTAAAATAATTTTATGTTGTCATGAAATTTTTTATTTTATTTCTATGTTTGTTTCATAACATGAAAAAAATAGAATCCAACTTTATAGAAACCCTCCAATTCCTATTCTTTAGTTTGGTTTGGAATGAGAATAGGATTTGGTCTCATAATAATATAGGGTTTGTGAAGAAATGGAATCCGAAAAAAAAAAAGAGGGAGAATAGTACAAATACGTCAGCTTTCTGTCCTAAATCCGACAAAATCATTAGGATTTGAGTTTCTATAAAACCATCATACTTTTTCAACTTTATAGATTCGAAATCTATAAATTTTTGGAGAACCAAACTCAAGAATAGGATTCATAAAGAATCCTTTATTTACAATTTTGTTATTGTCAGGCCCAATCCTATTTATTTTCCATAAAAATGATAAAACAAACAGCCCCTAATAGTACTCCGTTGCACCGCAATGCATGCGTACGACAAAAATGTGAGGGGAGTAGAAGTATTATGTGATTTTTTTTATAAATGTGAGAACATTCTCTTTGATTTTGTGTGATGACAGCTTTATTGATTTTTTTAGGTGTCGGACCACTTACGATTGATTCTTATGATACGTAATAGCATCTTAGAAATTCTAAAAATATGGCTTACAATGATTAAAAGAGAGGCTTTTCTTACTATACGGTATGGAATAATGGATATATTATAATATATAAGTATATTTTATATTAACGTTTTTAGAATATTAGAAAATGGGCTGCTAATATTTTATATTAACGTTTTTAGACTAACAAGTCATTGACTTGTTAGTCCTTCGCTATGCGCTCATATTTTCTTTTGAATAAGTTGTTAGCCTATTTTCAAATTTCACTAGCATATTTCATATTAGCATTTCGTAATAGATCACTAGTCTAATTAATATGTTTTATACTACTATTGACGATCCTAATTCCTAAATTTTAGAACATTTATTTTTACGTCATACTTTATTCTCTCTCTCCCATAAAAGAAAAAAATAGTGCAACTTTTAACTAAACTTACAATCCCCAACAATATGCAGCAGGGGTTATTTGAAGAGATATTTGGTTGCAGCAGGAGTTTTTTGAAAAGGTGAATCAAAAAGACAAGGCCAAGGGGTGAAAAATTCACCCCGGGTATTTCTGACCTGGTGGGCCCCACCTCATTAAATGCATGGCAGGTTTATTAAAAAAAATTAAATAGAAGCCGCCCAATCAGAAACGGGCACGTGGACGCGTGCATGGAGGCTGTAGGCGCATGCCTGCCAGCTGCCGCGTGGCGAAATCTGATTGGGCGGCAATTTTTGTTTTCCTCCTTATTTTTAATTGATATTTTTTGAGATAAATACAATGAATTAATTTATAATTTTTATACCATTAATTTTTATTTTTCAAACTTTATAAATAGAGATTAACTTTGTGTCATTTGGACACAAAAAAAATTTTGAGTTTCTACACCCTATTCTTCTTCTTTCTACAATTTGAAGCTAGTTTCTTCATGGATCCTTCACAAAACTATCCTAATTTTCCCGTCCAACTCAAACGGCAGTTGGTAAAGACAAATCAAGTCCGTTGATAGCTGAGGGTTTGCTCAAAATCCTAGAAGGCGATCATCAGCTGCGAGTGAAGAGCAGGGATCACTTTACGGGACTTCATATCCAAAGTGTTCCAGACCCCATGCGGCCTGATTCACAGTTCCGGGAAGCAGCTATGTTCCTGTAGGCAATAAAAATTGCCTTTAAATCCTTATCAGAGAAGTTCAGAACAAAACTGCTAAAATCTCACCCGAAATAGCAAAAGAGGGGAAAACGCAGATATCTCCCAAACCGTAAGGAATTTGACGAAACGGAGGAAGCGAACCGAAGCCTTCGGCTCGGTTCGGATGACTCCATCTCGTCGAGATAGGCGATTTTCATATATAATTCGTCCAATTCCGACTTACGGTTTGAAAGTTACGGCCTATTCTTCAATCCATGCTCAGGAGCTCGCCTGCACTTCGAATCGGCCTGCAGTCCCAAACCCGCCTGCAGCCCCAAGTCTGCCTGCCTGCAGTCCCAAATCCGCCTGCAGACCTCAAGTCTGCCTGCGCACCTGAGCTCGCCTGCAGACCCAGTTCGCCTGCTAGCTCGCCTGCAGACCCAAGTCCGCCTGCAGTCCCAAACTCACCTGCAGACCCAGTTCGCCTGCAAGCTCGCCTGCAGACCCAAGCTGCAGACTCGCCAGCTCACTGTCAACTGCCCACTTGGAGTATGGGAACAGTTACATCAGTGGTCAAATCCCACAAATCAAGGGAGAGGGCACAATACTCCAGGCCCGTCAGATGGCCGTCCACAGTACGAATGAGCGGACAGGCGCCGAAACAGCCTGCACCCTCATAAATGCGGCTCACCTCAGTTGTCCAGGTGAAGGGACGAGAGCCGCCAACGCTCTGGTATACGAGGTTAAACTGCTCCCTTAATCCAAACGCCTTGAAAGGCTAAGGATAGAGGAGAAATTTTAGCATTAAGCCTAAGAGGAACTCCTCGACAACTTACCATGCTAAGGGCAAGAGCATGGCTAATCCAACTCAAACGGCAGTTGGTAAAGACGAATCAAGTCCGTTGATAGCTGAGGGTTTGCCCAAAATCCTAGAAGGCAATCATCAGCTGCGAGCGAAGAGGTCAGCTTCACCGAGCTTGTTGGAGGGCTCCTCACTCCATCTGAGCGGGGATCACTTTACGGGTCTTCATATCCAAAGTGTTCCAGACCCCATGCGGCCCGATTCAGGTCTGAAAACTTTGGAGGGGGTTTTGTAGGCAATAAAAATTACCTTTAATCCTTATCAGAGAAGTTCAGAACAAAACTGCTAAAACCTCGCCCGAAATAGCAGAAAAAGGGGAAAACGCAGATATCTCCCAAACCGTAAGGAATTTGGCAAAACGGAGGAAGCGAACCAAAGCCTTTGGCTTGGTTCGGATGGCTCCATCTCGTCGAGATAGGCGATTTTCATATATAATTCGTCCAATTCCGACTTACGGTTTGAAAGTGATTTTCATATATAACTCGTCCAATTCCGACTTACGGTTTGAAAGTTACGGCTTATTCTTCAATCCATGCTCAGCAGCTCGCCTGCAGCTCGAATCTGCCTGCAGTCCCAAATCCGCCTGCAGACCCAAGTCTGCCTGCCTGCAGTCCCAAATCCGCCTGCAGACCTCAAGTCTGCCTGCGCACCTGAGCTCGCCTGCAGACCCAGTTCGCCTGCAGTATCAAATTCGCCTGCAGTATCAAATCCGCCTGCAGACCCAAGTCTGCCTGCAATCCCCAGCTCTGCCTGCAGTCTCAAATCCGCCTGCAGACCCCAAGTCTGCCTGCGCACCTGAGCTCGCCTGCAGACCCAGTTCGCCTGCAAACTGTCAACTGCCCACTTGGAGTATGGGAACAGTTACATCAGTGGTCAAATCCCACAAATCAAGGGAGAGGGCACAATACTCCAGGCCCGTCAGATGGCCGTCCACAGTACGAATGAGCGGACAGGCGCCGAAACAGCCTGCACCCTCATAAATGCGGCTCACCTCAGTTGTCCAGGTGAAGGGACGAGAGCCGCCAACGCTCGGTGGTTGGTCAGATCCACGCAAGCATCTGACAGCCGTTGTCACGCATACGAGGAGGGGCTTTCCCACTCCTATGTAGCGTGATGCAGAGCACAGCTCTTCGAATGACCATTGACGGTACGAATGAACAGCAGGACGTCTCCGAACAACGTGTGGTCACATCCCATAATTCAAGGAGCAGTCAAGCTATCTCCCTCACCTCTATTAGTGGTCAAATTCCATGAATCAAGGGATAGCCCATGCCATCCCTTGCCTGTTAAAACCCATCTTCAGCAGCATGAAGATGGGGGATTGGCCGTTGCATATTCTGCTGGCTAATCTCCCAAAGGTTGAACCTGGACCTTTGCCAAAGGCTCCCTCATTTGAGAACCGAAGCTCCGGCTCCGGCATCAACTTCGATCGGATCGTCCAAGGGAAGCAGACTCGGCACGAGCACCGAGCGAGGCATCCTATCGCCACCTAAAGTCCCCACACAAAACAAAGAGGGCCTTCCCTCTGCTTCTGTTGTAAACATTTGATTTGTTAGTTTGTAATAAGCTTTCTTATAAATACAAACGAAACTCCTTTCTTCGGAAGAATCAAATTTTCACCCTACAGAAGATGGCGACCACAGTGGGAGAATCCGTTCATTCAGATGAATTGGTGGTGGCGCAGTCTGACGAAGTTGCTGCAGGGACTACTGTTGAGTCCCTTGTGATCAAATTCGAAGGGTACTTACAATCGTCCTCTTCTCGCAGCAATACATCTCGCGATGGTTGCAGAGTCGTGCGGGTGGCCCAGCCCCAAGAGGCTGAGGCAACCAAGCCTGAGGGATCTACCCAAGCCGAGGCAGGGGGTTCTTTTCCCCCCGAACCAGTTGAGGCCGAGCCGAGATTCGAGAATGCAGGTCTAGGGGCTGCTGAATGGGTCGATGAACGATCCTCGCAGACCCCTGTGCAAGAGGAATCAACCATTTGTGTCGACGCAGAATACGCCTCCGTCGTCGACATGAACGCTCCTCGTTCAAAAAGATCCAAACAGCGGCGACGAAAAGCTCTCGCTCGTCTCGAGGCGCAATCCCTCATCCCCCACGACAGCCTGAATTATTATTCAGGCTTGAGGCGAATCAACCTCTTGAGCCAGGTTCCCATTTTTGGCGAAC